TTTGTCAGATGTGTTAGCTAAGCAAGGGGTAAATAGGGAAGAATTGTTTTGGGCTCAGTTGTGATTCTTGCTTTTCTTTCCTAGTTTACTTGTAAGATTCGAGGGGTTGCAGCTTGCGCCTCTCCCTGGGATGTTGTATGAACTCACTCTAAATCTGCTTCTGAATTAATAAATTTATTATCATTCATCAAAAAATTAGGGTGCAAGTCGGGCGGGTTAGGCTGGGTTTATGGTCAACCCAGGCCCGACCCTAAAATTTGGGCTTAAGACCCGAGCCCAAGGTCAAGCCCGATTTTCCCAACCCGAGCCCATCCCGCCCTGTAATTTGATGCACTCGTGTTGGGCTCGGGCCTGGGCCAGCTCGGGTTGGTCAATGAACCCACTCTAAAATTATATATATATATATAAATGTATTTATGCAAATATATATACATATATTTATGTATGTAAATATGTATGCAAAATATCTATACAAATGTTGTATATACAAATATGTATGTATCTATGTGTAAATATGTATGCAATATTTACATATATACACATATATATGTATATATGTATATAATTGTGCCGGGCTCGGTCTAGGTTCGGGCTACCTAAGGGCTAGGCCTGAGCCCGGCCCGAAAAATAAAAAAGCCTGACTTCTTGGGTCCGAGCCCAGCCTGAAGACCGAAAATCCAAGCCCATCCCATGTAAAATTCCGGGTTGGGCCGGTTCGAGCTCGGGCTGGGTCTGCCCAAGTTGCACCCTTCATATCAATTTTCCCACCAGCTTTTGGTATCTTCTTTTATTAGAGTAGTCCTCTCCAACCGATTCCTGGAGACAATGATTTTGCTCTATTGGAGTATCTGTTGGTCTACTCCCCATCGTACCTGTCTCCTCTAGAAGATCAAGAACATACTTCCTTTGACATATATAAATGCCCTCTTGTGACTTTGCAACTTCAATTCCAAGGAAGTATCTCAAATGGCCTAAATCTTTGATCTCAAATTTAGATGCCAAGAACTCCTTCAATCTTTTTATCTCTTCCAGATCATTCCCTGTAATCACCATATCATCTACATAGACTATAAGTGTTGTAAGCCTGCTACCCTGTTTTCTTATGAACAAGGTATGATCTGCACCACTCTGACTGTATCCCACTTTCTTCATGGCCCCACAGAGCTGCAGGGTATAATAATAATTGAAGGTAAATTTGACGGCGAGAGGAAAGTTAAAATATATTAAAGAAAACAAACCATTCCCGGGAGCTGCAGGGTATAATAATTGAATCCAGGAGAATGCACAGATTATGACATGTCTTTGGAACAATATGGAACCTCATATCAGTGTGAACTTGATGTTCTTTGATACTACGAAAGAAGTTTGGGAACATCCTAAGCAGTTGTATTCTGGACATGACAATGTAATTATAATCTATCAATTGTATCATGAGTATTTTCAACTACAACAAGGTAATAGGAGTGTGGAAGAGTACTATGCTTGCTTGAAGAGTTTGTGGAATGAGTTGGATTCGTATCAACCTCTTTTGATTGATCTCAAAGTGCAAAAACAATAGAGAGATCAGTTGGATGTGACACATTTTCTTTTCAGATTGAGGTCTGAATTTGAACTAGTGCGTGCCCAGATTTTAGGTAGCAATGACATACCTACACTATCAGAAGTCTTCTCCAAAGTAAGAAGGGTTACGAGTCCACATATAGATGGCTCTCTAGTATTAGAGAAGTCGGCCCTAGCCGCAAACAGAGGTGGTAGAGGTGGCTCACGTGGTAGAAGTAGCTATCTAGAGGGAGTAACTGTGGTGTGAAAGGAGGTCAAAATGGTGGTAGAGATGGGAATTTTAGAGGTTGTGGTGTCAGTGTTGCTGGTCAAGGAATGATCAAAGAATGCAGCTATTGTGGACGGGAAGGACATACTGTAAACTACTGTTATGATTTGCATGGCCCACTTTGTACTTGGGCCAATCATGCTACTGTAAAAGGAGATAGTTGTACTACAGGAGATGACTCCACTGCTTTAGGTATTGGGAAGGAGAAGGAAATGGTTTCCATCACCCAAGAAGAGTATGGAAAAAGTCGTCTATCTTCTTCTTCCGATAATACTAGAACTCTTGCATAGTCAGGTACAACATGTCTTGTTTCTTCTTTTAAACCATGGATTGTTGATTCTGGGACCTTAGATCACATGACTGGGTCCTCAGACCTGTTTGCATCTTTATCCCCTCCCTTTACCGCCAAACCGGTTACTCTGGCCGATGGTATTACCTCCGGTGTTTCTGGTACCGGTGATGTTTCTTTACATTCTGATTTACTTTACCGCCGGTCCTATATGTTCCTAAATTTCCTTTTAGTCTTATGTCTGTTACTAAGTTGACAAAATCTTTGAATTGCTTTGTCTCATTCTTTCCATCCCATTGCATTTTTCAGGATCTCGAGACGGGGAAGACTATTGGTGGCGGGCATGAAGCTGGAGGATTGTATTATCTTTATAGTGGTGGATCACAAACAACTCTTCATTCCTCTATTTACACCGTTACAGTGGCACTATTGGATGGGTTACCCTTCTCTTCTAGCTCTCAAGAGTCTTGTTCGAGAGGTTGTGTCTGTTCGTGAGTTATAGTGTGAAGTTTGTCAGCTTAGTAAACATCATGTCTCTTTTGTTCCAAGGGAACCTACTAGAGTCTCGAGTCTTTTTGAACTTGTCCATTCAGATGTTTGGGGTCCTTGTCCAATTGAATCTTACAATGGTTTTAAATATTTTATTTCCATTGTTGATTATTTTTCAAGAATGACTTGGATTTATTTAATGAAATCTCGTATAGAGGTGTTTGATATATTTCTCTCCTTTTATGCTGAAATTAAGAATCAATTTGGTATCTCCATTAAATACTTTCGATCTGACAATGCAAAAGTATATTTCCAACGCCCATTTCATATGTTCTTTGAATCTCATGGCAAAATACATCTATCATCCTGCTACTCCACTCCACAAAAAGATGGAGTAGCTGAGCGGAAGAATATACATTTACTTGACACTGCTCGGGCACTTTTGATTCAAATGTCAGTTCCAAGAAAATATTGGAGGGATGTTGTTCTTACTTCTTGCTTTCTCATTAATCGTATGCCATCTTCCTTGTTAAGTGGCTCCTTTCCTTTTTCTATTGTCTTTCCTTCTCAATCTCTGTTCCCTTTGCCTCCGTGTGTCTTTGGTTGTGTTTGATTTGTTCACCGCTTGGGGCAGGCGTTGGATAAGTTGGATGCTCGTGCTCTTAAATGTGTCTTTTTAGGGTACTCTTGGACCCAAAAAGGATATAAGTGCTATAGTCCTTCCCTTCGGCGCTTCTTTGTTATTCCTAATGTGACCTTCTTTGAAAATGTTCTTTTTTTTCCCTCAACTGAGCCTACTTCTCTTGATACTCTATCCCCACCTCCTCTTCCCTTACCAATGGAGGAGGTGCCTATGCTTGCTCCTGTTGTTCAAGAGTCAATGCGACCACCGATACATCGAGTATATGCTTACGACCCTGTGGTATTGTGTTTCGGCCTTCTTCAGCTCCATCTCAGCCATCAACGGCTCCTCTATCGATGGGTCCATCTCATTTCGATCTTCCCATTACGCTTCGCATAGGTAAGCGTGCTTGTACTAAACATCCTATATTTCGTTATGTTTCATTTGCCCATTTATCTCCATCCTATTGGAATTTTGTATCCCTTCTATCGTTTGTGTTTGTTCCTAGATCTCTTCAAGATGTTCTTCTCTCTCCAGAATGGAAAAATGACGATGGATGAGGAATTTCATGCTTCAATCTAATCATACTTGGAACCTCACTTCTCTGTCTCCAGGAAAGAAAGCAATTGGTTGTTGGTGGGTTTACATTGTTAAGCATCTTGCCGATGGTAGTGTGGAGTGATAAATCATGCTTAGTAGCCAAAGGGTATACACAGACCTATGGTATTGATTATACTGATACTTTTTCACCTGTAGCTAAAATGGGTTTGGCCTGGGTGCTTATTTCCCTGGCTACACAATTTGACTGGCCGTTGTTCCAGTTGGATATTAAAAATGCATTTCTTCACGGTGACCTAGAGGAGGAGGTGTATATGGAGCAACCTCCAGGGTACGTTGCTCAGGGGGAGGAAGGTAAGGTGTGTTGGTTGAAGAAAGCAATTTATGGGTTGAAGCAATCTTCGAGGGCTTGGTTTAGGAGATTCAGTAGTGTAGTACAACAGTTTGGGATGACACAATGTAGGGTTGATCATTCAGTGTTCAGTAGAGATACTACCTTTGGGAAGATTGTGTTGGTAGTCTATGTTGATGACATCATTATTGCAAGAAGTGATGAGCATGGCATTGAAAAGCTCAAACAATTCTTACAAAACCAATTCCAGACTAAGGACTTGGGGCACTTGAAATATTTTCTGGGCATAGAAGTAGTAAGGTTAAAGTGGGGAATCTCTCTCACAAAGGAAGTATGTGCTTGACCTATTGGAAGAAACTGGTCTTTTAGGGGCAAGGCCAGTGGATACCCCTATAGATCCGAATGTGAAGATGTCTGATAGTGAGGGGGAGCCCCTAGCTGATTCTAGACGGTACAAGAGAGTAGTTGAAAAACTGATTTATTTAACCATTACAAGACCAGGCATTTCCTTCAGGGTTGGATTATTGAGCCAATTCACACAGAACCCAAGGATCCATTGGGAAGGATAGTTAGAGTTCTACGCTATTTGAAGGGTGCTCCAGGTAAAGGGTTGTATAAGAAAGAGAGAGAACTTTCCTTGGAAGGATACACAGATGCTGATTGGTCAGGGTTGGTTACTGATAGGAAATCAACAGCTGGTTACTACACTTTTTGGTAGGGAATTTGATTACTTGGAAAAGCAAGAAGCAGAACGTGGTGGCTAGGAGTAGTGCTGAGGCCGAGTATAGAGCCATGGCCCACACTACATGTGAGTTGGTGTGGTTGAGACTTGAGACAATTGTTACAAGAGATGGGAATCAATCACAACCCCCATGAAGCTATTTTGTGACAACCAGGCAGCCATTCATATCTCTTCCAATCCAGTGTATCATGAGAGGACCAAACACATAGAGGTGGATTGTCACTTTGTTAGAGAAAAGGTGGTCAGTGGAGAAATCATTACCCCATACGTGAAGTCTGAAGATCAACTAGCTGATTTGTTTACCAAAGGCTTGAGTGGTGCTCGGATGAAATACATTTGTAACAAGTTGGAGTTGTATGATATGTATGCTCCAACTTGAGGGGGAGTGTTAAAATACAACTTTGTTCTAGGGTTATTTTAGTCTTTTCTCTTCTTTAAATCAGTGTTTTTTTGTCTCTATTCTCAAGCATTTGTATACAGGGGGTAATAGTGTAATTTTCTGTTCAACCTTTCTTCTCCTCTTCTTCTTCTTCGTCTCTTCTACTTCTAGGCTCATACCAGGAGCCTTCTTTTTATTTATTTAATTAAATACAGGCCTGATAACAGTTATGTTACACAACCTCACAATAGGAACTCTTATTGATGTTCTGATAGAACTAGAAAAACAATAATATCCCTACTTAACTTTACAATGTCTACGAACAAATGCAGAATACCAAAATTACCCATATGCATATTAATACTTAGGTATTAAAATCTCTCTATCTTTGGCAAATAGGTTTCATTTCTCTTTGATCCTTTCCTTTTTTGTGTAAGTTTCAATTCACCATATTATTTATCATGCTTGGATGAATTTCTGTTTTAGCCTGCAGAGAAATTCCCAAATATTTTTTCTAGAGAATCTCTTTTTGGGAGGTAAGTAATTCTATGCCTATTTATCTTATGTTAGATTTCTTCCCTTATTTACTACCGTATTGTTATAATTTTCGACTTGTACTGAATATTCTCAGAATAGAAATAATTTGTTGCAGGTTCCCTTATTTACTACCCTGCCTTCCAGTATCAATCTTTGCATTGTTTGTGGCTATTTCTTGTTTTTGGCTTCCGGTATGTTTCTGAATCAATTTCAAATCATTACTTTTTCAATTTGGTCTTCACAAGGATGACCTGTACTGTTATGTTAAACAGCTTTTGATTTTGGCTTTCATTCACAAAAACAAAGCATGCATACAAAATCAAGTTATGTTGGAAATTGAGATTAAAACATTATAAAATCATTGAGTAAGCATTTTTGTAGACCTTTTGACTTGTAATTAAAACAAACCATTTAAATTCAGAAAGAGTATGGCAACTGACAAAGGATTCCTGTAGGCGGCATAGAAAGATGGAGTTTACATATTGTCTACTTTACGTTAACAATTCCCTTCAGTGAAGCAAGAGAAGTGCTAATTCCATGGCTGATGGGTTAGCCAAGCAAGGGGTGCTTAAGGATTCTTTGTTTTGGGCCACTTTTTAGCTTTCCTTCTTGTTCTCTGTTGTGGGGGAGTTAAGATATTTTACCTCCCCTCTCTTGTACTCAAAGTTTCACAATTTTTATAATCTAATAAAACATTCTGTTATTGATAAAAAAAAATCCCTTCAGTGAAAGGGCTTTCTGAAAATTTTTATCTGACGTTTGACATCTCTTTGCTTTGGTCTGAGTGAAGGATTTCATATCATGCAAAACTTGTATGGTGCTTGCTCACCAAGAGTGTATGCTTTTCTGTGGTTGTCTTTTTTGGACAGCTTATTGACAGATAACAATCATTTGGAGTGTAGAGGCTTTAGAATGGAAATTTTATGTTTTGTGTAAAACTTGTTCATTCATTGCAGACTTCTGGAGCTTCCTCTTGACCTTACTGTAATCTCTTCTTTTCTTTAATAATTACCTTACTAAAAAATAAAGGTGTTCCATATCCAATATGATGCCCACATTATGGATCCTTTGCTACTTTCATTCAGGAAATGTGAACTTAATCTTCTGACACCTGACTAGTAGATTGCTACCCTCCAGAGATCCATCTCTTAAGTCTTAACTATGAAGGTTCTGGTTCATTATTTACAGAAAACCTGCCTAAGATCCTCTCTGTCTTTGAAATCTACCTAGACTAAAGCAATGTGATCTATCTCTGCATTTCCATCTTTCTTTATTCCTGAGAGCAAATCGTTATCTAAGTGCCACAATTCTTCTTGTGCTATTCTTTTTGATTTACTCCTTATTTGATTATGGTTTCTTTCAATCACAATTTCTCCCTCTCTCTAATATATATACATATACATACTAGTAAATGCATGGTTCAAAATTTTGTTAATTATTGGACCATATCGGTCGATACATATCATATCAGTGGGTCACCAATATGCCAAATCTGCAACTTTTGGGGGTTTGACCTATTTCAGGGGGTAGGCAGGCCTAAAACACCCCTTTGTCGTAATTTTGAAAAAAAATACTAAAAAAGTAAAAAGAGTGTGGTACAAAGTACTGATACACCCCTTCTGCCATATCGAGGTGTATCGACACTTTGAACCCATGTAATACTAATACTGATAATTTAGTGTCCTTATTAGAACCCATGTAACAAAGACAAATTATCAAAGCATGGTGTAGCAGTGGATTTGTTGTCTTCCAAGAAGGAAAGGAAGAAAAAAACAGTAGTGGATGAAGCAAAATTGCCTAAGGAGAACTCAGATATTTTCTTGATCAGCAACATAGAAAATATTTTATTAATATTAAAAAAGGAAGAAAGAATACAACAAGAACTCAGAGATTTCCTTGGCGGTTTCTCAAGAAGAAAAGGAAAAGGAATTAGAAGTGAGGAAAGAAGCTAAACCAGAAGAGGAAGTTTGAGAGGCTGGTCTAGGTTTTGTAAAACAGAGGAGAAAAAGACAGCAGCAAGTTTGTGGGTGTGTCCAATGTGGAGCTCGGCACCCTAGAAGAGAAATTTATATTAAAAAAAGGTAAAAGGACCAAATTGTCCTTTGAGTAGAAGAGAGGATAGTTTACAAGAAGAAAATAAAATGCAATAAGATGTAAATTACAGAAATAGCCCTCTCAGCTAGCTCTCTTTATCTCTACACTCTCCCTCAAACTGATGCCTAGGAATCAGCATCAGTTTGTCCACAAGGAAAAAGTGTTGTGCCTGCGTCATAGCTTTCGTCAAGAGATCTGCAAGTTGGAGTCCAGAGGACATGTGGGGAAGAGAAATAGTACTAGCTTGAAGAAGATCACGAATAAAGTGGCAATCAACTTCAATGTGCTTTGTGCGTTCATGGAAAACAAGATTGGAGGCAATCTTGATGCCATTGGCATTATCTGCAAAGAGCGGAACTGATGGCAGTGACTCCTGTAGTATATCATGTAGTAGAGCCCTAAGCCATATAATTTCACTGCATACGGAGGACATGGCTCTATATTCAGGTTCAGTAGAAGATTTTGAAACTGTAGATTGTTTCTTACACTTCCAGGCAATGAGAGAGTTACCAAGAAAAACACACCATCCCGTAGTAGATCGTCTAGTGTCTGGACAACCAGCCCAATCAGCATCGGTAGGGGTGAGCATTCGGTTTGTTCGGTTAAAAACCGAACCGAATAAACCGAAGTTTCAAAAACCGATATACCTATTTGGGAGTCCGAACCGAAACCGAACTTTGCAAAAACCGAACAAACTGAATCTGCTTGCTACTCTCGATCTTTCCTATGCATTTGTGCAAGTGCATCTGAAATTTACACTACAAAGTTTAAGCAAAGCACTTAAAAACTGAAGAATCCGTGGCTAAAAATTTCCACAATCCAGATTCGGTGGCTAACAAAAATACTAGGAAGAACTGAAGATTAAAAGGGAAAAATAGAAAAAAATACTTGTACTTAGAGATTCAAATGGATAACAAGAAAGCAGGGAGGGAACTAAAATGAACCAAAAAACTAAAGATTAAAGAAGACTCGCTGGATTCTATCACTTGTTGCCGCCCGCTGGAAAAGTTAGTTTGTTGGATGTTGGACTTTGGAATAGTGGAACTGGAACTTTTAGTTTACTACTAGCCTGCTACTTTGCTCGCTCAGGCGCAAAGACACTCACTGCTGCAAGGGACTTAAGGCTTCAGTCTTTAGAGGTTAGAGGAAGATGAAGGTCAATGGTCAAAGACTAATGGGTTTTGGCCTATGGCTAATAACCTTTGGGCTTTTCACTATATTTGTATATTTACCACCTTACCCCTAAAAGTTCAGTTTTTTGGGTTTTGACCAAAGGCTAATAACCTTTGGACTTTTCATTATATCTACATGTTTACAAATTTGCCCTCTAAGTTTGGTTTTTTAGGTTAACTGAACTACTAAATCTCACAACTGAAACCGAAAACTGAAGTTTGGCAAACATATTTTTAAAACTGAAACCAAACCGATTTTTCAAAATAACTGAACCAAAAACACCATAACCGAATTTTTGGTTCAGTTATTCGGTTTCAACCGAATTATGCTCACCCCTAAGCATCGGCATAGGTAGTAAGGCTGATGGATGATGAGGAGGAGAAGTATAAGCCATGAGATAGGGTTCCCCTCAGATACCTAATAATCCGATGAACTGTGGACATGTGGGGTTGTCGTGGAGATGAGACAAATTGGCTCACTATCTGGACTGCATATGATATGTCCGGCCGAGTCATTGTGAGATATATTAAGTTGCCCACCAATTGTCGGTACAGAGTAGGATCCTCAAGAGGAGAGCCTTCATCCTTGCTTAATTTCAAATTAACTTCCAAGGGAGTATTAACAGTCTTGGAGTCATTGAGATTAGCCAATTTGACAAGATCCATTGCATATTTATGCTAGTTAACAAAATAGCCATGGGAATTACGGCTGACCTCAAGTCTCAAGAAGTAGGTTAAGGGGCCCAAATCCTTCATCTTAAAGGAGTCGCTAAGGAGTCTTTTCAGATTAGTGATTCCCTCCACATCATTCCCTGTAATAATTATGTCATCAAAATATAGGAGGAGAAGAGTCACACCCTGATTCCGATGCAAAATAAAAAGATAGTGATCAAAATAGCTTTGAATAAATCCTGCATCAGTGGTCACAGATCTGAATCTCTCAAACCAGGCTCTTGGTGCTTGTTTCAGGCCATACAAAGACTTCTTGAGATGATAGATAAGCTGAGGATCAATGCCATATCCAGGGGAGGTTTCATGTAGACCGTTTCCTTCAATTCTCCATGATGAAAAGCATTTTTCGCATCCATCTGATTAATTGTCTAGTCTTTAATTGCAGAAATGAGGGATTTCTATAGCCTATTGATAAGTCTATCCCATATTCCTGTTTATAGCCTTGTGCAACAAGTCTAGCCTTGTACCTATTTAGACTTCCATCTGACTTCCAATAAGAGAGGCTTCAGGAGGGGCCTTGACCAATTCCTAGGTGTCATTCTCAAGAAGAGCTCGGATCTCAGAGTCCATGGCATCTTTCCAATGAGGGATTGCTATAGCCTATTGATAAGTCTTGGGAATGTCTGTGGTGGATAAGATAATAGAAAAGGATCTATGGTCTGGGGAGTAACCATAGCGGTTAGGAGGGCGAGCGACACAATGTGGGCGCAGTGGGTTTAGGTGGCGGGTTAGAAGAACTTACAGAGATGAATGGTGTAACTGGAATAGCAATTGATGTTGGAGAAGGCGGAGGGGGCATAGGAGCTGGTGTAGACTTTTGTCTTCTGAAGTAGGTTTGAAGTTGTTGCGTAGGTGATGTCAGAGCATTTGGAGGATCTATGGAACCAAAGCTGTGCAACAAAGAGATAGAGGGAGCAGGAAATTTAACAATATGCTCAAAGAAAGATATGTGCTCAAGAAAGATATTACGGGAGATCCTAATATGATGAACTTCAGGATCGTAACACAGGAATCCCTTGTGGTCAGGGCTATACCCCACAAAAGTACATAATGTTGCCTGTGTAGTCAACTTGGTGCATTCATGGGGTGGAAGATGAACAAAACAAACATGACCAAAAACATTGAGTAAGGATAAGTTAGGTGGTTTGTGAAACGGGGATTGGAACTGAGAGGTATTATTCAGAACATAAGAG